TCTTTGCCTGCACTCTTATCTCACAAGTATATTTTATTCCAACTCGTGGATTTAAGTACAATGTACCTCCTGTTGATCCCCAAATTTGTATCTCCAGCCTTAACCCTCTGAGGTAGGGACTATTATCATGCCCATTTTACAGAACAGCAAACACAGGCTCTCAGACATTAAGGGGCTTGTTAGAGGCTACACAGCTGGAAGTAGCAGAGCTAGGATGTGAGTCCCGGTCTGTCTGACTCTAGGCCTGTGCTGCGAGCAACCAGGCTGCCCGTTACCCTCTCTCTCTGTCCCAGTGCCCATCCTGCCTGCTCCCAAGGTCCCCCGATGCCTTTGACCCCTGGTCTGCATCTCCTGGAACGACCTCTTTCTTGCTCCTGCCTCTCTAATCCTCTTCTATCCCAGCTCCCGTGGGGAGCCTCTCCACTCTGGAAACCCAGGCTGGTTGCTCCTGGCCTCTTCTGAACTCTACAGGAGTGGGAGTGGGAGTCCACCCTAGGCCTCATTGGTATTTGTAGTTATCATGCCTTCCGAACCCACAATGGGGGCCTTGACCCAAGGATACCTACATACTTGGGGACCTGGAGGGACAACATCTAAGACTGGGACTGCCTGGGAAAACGTGGGCCACAGGCCTTCATCATTATACACCCTCTTGTACAGTGGTCTGAGATCCAGGATGGCTTTTGTTTCCTCTACCAGCAGCTAAGCTTTTAGAGAGAGGGATCATGACTTCACTGAATAAGTATCATTTAAAAACACTGTGTGTGGGTGTGTGCGTGTGTGTGTGTGTCTGTGTGTGAATTAGGTCAGGGAAGTACTTCAAAGCCCTTTTCTCCCAGGTCCTGGGAGGCCAAGGAAAGTTCAGTGTGAAAGTGAAGGAGTTGACTTCGACTTCATTGCGGTCATAGGCCAAGCAGTTCCCACTGGGGTCGCTGAGTTCAAAGGAATATTTTGAAGAAATGGGGGTGACGTTGAGATCATGATCATGTAAGAAGAACTGCAAGTGCCCTGAGGGAAGGAACAAGGAAGAAGCCGGAAACTGGTGAGCCGTGGTGGGAAGGGCCATGTGTGGGAGGACTGTACATGGGCTGGGAAATTGAGAACTGACCTCAAGGGCAAAGGACATTGGCCCCTTTCACTTACGTGAGTTCTTACATTCTCATGTAAGTTTTACTTAGGTGAGTTCTTACGAGATGCTGCCTGGGCTCTGCCCCAGCCCTGCCACTCATTCACTGTGTGACTGTGGGCAAGTCACTTTGTTTCCCTGGGCTTCAGTTTCCTCATCTGTAAAATGAGGTGGTTGGACAATGAGTGATGGGATAGGGCTACATGGTTTCTCGGCCCGTTTCAGCATCCCATGTGGATCTGAGCTAACACATCCGGTGCTGTCTTACTGACCCGGGACCACACCTGCCTTGGGAAAGGAAGACCATGTTAATCTGACCACTCTCATACAGGCCTCCTGGGAAAAGTTCTTTTTCAAAAAAGCAGGGGATGGGCAGGGGTCTAGGAGAGGAAAGGCTGTAGATGGTTGAATCTTGCATGTTGTAAGGGAAATGGGTCTGCATTTCCTTTATCTCCAGAAAAAACACTGTTCACCCCAGCCCTCAGTTGAAATGTGCATCAGAGACCATTCTGCAGGATGAGATCAATTTTGCGCTGTATGGATCAGAGGGGCAGGGCTGGCCCTTCTCCCCCAGGTGGAGCCTCTCAGTGCTTCAGTCTTGGGTCTGAATCCCCCTCCCAGAGAGATTTCCCATTTGGAGTCTGCCAACCAAGGCCAATGCTGAGATGATGTCACACCCCGCTGGGGTTTGCTTGCCTAGAGGAGAACATATCTAGAGTTAGGAGGAACCCCAATGGCTGAGTGATTGCCAATCAGTGCAGGGATATTACATCTGCACACCTGCCATTCAGGCACATAGTGATTCCTAAGCCTCCTGCATTTTGAAAATAAAATATGAAATCAGGAGCATTTAAGTCAGTCCTTACTGGACTGCTGGAGACAAAGAATGAAGCAGTGATGGCTTGTGTGGGTCTGTGTTTGGTGCTTGAGAGAGGCCGAGCTCTAATAATCCATCAGGACCAAGGGCTTTGTAGTGCTCCCCTCTTGCTTGCTGGACCTGGAAGCCAGAGGAGCTTGGAGCTTCCCTGTGCCCCCCAGGGGCTGGAGGGCACAATCACAGCCTTCAGTATGCTTAAGACTATAGGTTT